TTTAAATATATAAAATAATGAGAATTATAATTTTTTTAAATGAAAGAGTATTAAAACAAAATCACACACCTGACATGCGAACAAAACAACCAGTTTATTGAGTTTTACTTTTACAATGTCTATTAAATTATTCATTTAATTAATTTCGCAATTATTTGCAGTTCATTTTATTATTGAATCTGAATATTCTGTAATTGATTGACAATTCCTTTCTTCTGTGGAACACAAAAGAAGATATTTTAAAGAATGTTGTTGGTAACTTGTTTCCCATTGACTTATGGACAAAAATAAAGTCTTTGGGAACCAAAACTATTTGGTTATCAGCATTCTTCAAAATATCTTCTTTTGTGTGTTCATCAGAAGCAAGTCAGTCATACAGGTTTGGAACAACATGAGGGTGAGTAAATTATGACCATTTTTGGGTGAACTATCCCAGTGCATCTGTTCAAAATGAAACAAATATTCACATGCCACCAATGCGACGTTAGTTCTGAACAGCTATTTGAAAACATGTAAATACCGTTTGACTTAATTTCCTCTCACTGACGAGTTTAACAAACGTGAATAGGCCTTTAGATTAAGGAACTTTATCTCCTCATTGTGTGTTCCAGGTCTCAAGTCTTTGGGAATGACGATCGCCCAATGCTACGAGGAAGTTGGCCTACTGATGCTGTTCCTTTCTGTGGGCATCTCTATCTTCGCCACAGTGGAATACGCCATTGAACATGACATGCCAGAGACCACCTTCACCAATGTACCCAGCGCTTGGTGGTGGGCCACCACGTCCATGACCACAGTAGGGTACGGAGACATCCGTCCGGACACAGCACTAGGAAAGGTGATGGCCTTCATCTGCATCCTATCTGGCATTCTAATTCTCTCGCTACCTATCGCCATCATCAACGATCGGTTCTCCGCCTGCTACTTCACGCTTAAAATTAAGGAAGCGGCGCTGCGGCACGGGGAGGCGCTGAAGCGACTGACGCGCAGCTCGGCCTCAGATATGTCGGCGATAGGGGTGAACTTGCGGGACACCTACGCCAGAAGCGTGCTGGAGATGCTGCGGTTGCAGGGCCGAGAGCGAGCCAGCACACGCAGCAGTGCAGGAGATCTCTGGTGGTAACAGTAGGCCTGCAAGCTGCCTGAGAGAGAGACAGATAGAGAACAAGTGAGCGAGAGAGGTCTTTTAAGGACCACAAAACCTTTAAAGGCATCATATTATGAGAAATCTAAATTTGATTTATTGCATTAGAAAAACATACTGTAACTTGCCTCAAAATAAGTTAAATCATCCTGCAAAAAACAACTGAACGTTCTAGTGTTTCTGATGTCAAAAACATTGCGATCCTGTAACAATCTAATGCAACTTTGCAAAGTGGCTAAAATGGTAACACTGTATTAGAAATGAGCCCAAACCTGCAGCTTGCAGATAAAGTGCTACTGCTCATTTCACATGCAAATGGGGCATTTCTTAATGTTGTGATGTAATGGAAGTAGCAACAGATCTTTTCTTCCATACTAGGATGTACATCCAAGTGAAATCAAAAAAGGGGACTTGGTATAGTTGTTGATTGGATGGAGGCAATTGTGTTAGTAATTGTAAGAAAGAGACAGGGTTTAAAGGGATCATTCACCCAAAAATTACAATTCTGTCATCATTTACTCACACTCATGTCCTTCCAAACCTGTATGATTTTCTTTCCTCTTTGGAGCATGAAAGAAGATATTTTGAAGAATGTTGGTAACTAAACAGTTTTGGTTCCCATTGGCTTCCATTTTATTATTTGTTCATTTTGGTTACCAACAGTCTTCAAAATATCTTAAAAACGACACGAGGGTGAGTAAATAACCAAGTTATGACATTTTGATTATGAGGTAAAAATTTTTTTTAATTAAACATACATGGATGAATCGATCACAATAAGATCAATAACATGCATTTAAAAAAAAAAGATAGGTAGAATTTCCATATCATGCCAACTTTAAAGGCAGCAGCAGCAAAAACAGACTATTTAACGGAGTAGAAAATGATCTTAAAACTAAATTAGGACTGTTATTATAAATTATATAAAAAATGTAAATTGTTATAATAATTATAATTTTTTTATAAGAAAAAAAAAACTTGACAATGAACCTCAGGGGAAAAAATAAGACTCCTTTTAGGGTGAAGAGTGTGATTTCTGCACCACTAGTGGCACAAAACAGAATTGCAAAAATAAAGACTTTATTCAAACAGGTTTCCCTAACACTGCCCTTGGTTGGACAACAGTTAGCCCCACCCCAAATTCTCACCATTGGTTGAATCAGTGTTTCTATGCTGCTTAAAACAACCATAGCAATTCTGAAAACACCACAGTGTTTACATGTTTTGACTGAATCAACCTATGAATTACTTCAAATTGTCTCTGCACATTAAGCTGGAAGAAGTATTTTAATGTGACACTACAATCATCAAAATGATTTTTCAAAATTGCTACATGCCTGTTCTGTTCATCTTTGTGCAACTCATTGATTGTTTGTAATATAAGTAGTTTTTACTGTTCCATTTGAAGACGTAATAAAATCTATGTCTGGATTTTCCCGTTTGGGTTGTGTTTTTAAGGGCTGCATTTACATTAGAGAAACGCTTTTCCCTGTGCATATTCCCTACGACTTGTTGATCCTTGTAAAATACCACAAATGGCCGTAAGATCATCCTTGTAATCCTTGTCATCCTATCATGACCTTGTAAGACCAACAGGTCTGCTCAAAGACGCATGGCTTATTTGACACATTGCTCTGAAACAGTTGCAGCTAGACATTCAGAGCTTAAAAGCTTAGAGAGAATCAGTCGCTCCACTGACCACAGCTAGACCGTAACAATGATTTGCACTGCAGGAACATGTTATTACATGACAAGATGACATGTAAATGGATAACAAGCCTTTAAAGCCTTTAATCTAAATTTCATTTTTGTGGCTGTGCAAGTTCTTTTCTAAGTAAATGATTTGAATTAAGATTTTTGGTCCAATCTGCAAAAAAAAAAAAAAAGGTGAAAAATATGCCTTTCAATGAAGGATGGAACTGAGCCATATCTAGCAACAGCATAGCAACGCCCTAGCAACTACCCATAACATTTTAGTATCATGTTATGATGGGGGAAAAATATGTAAAATTCTATGTTGAAAATAATCAATCAACGAAAAGTCTCCGTGTCTGTGAAAAAGACATCACCAGGCTTGCTATCCTAATAAATCCACTGAATCCAAGCTGAATGCTAAATCCACAGCCTGGAGATATGTTGGATTTGTGCTATTTCTATCTCTTGTGCCTTTTGAAAACTTTCCAATTGAACAAGAATACCTCCTCTCAATCGCTCACGAAATATCAGACTATGAAAATCCTTAAATGGTGCTTTTATTTCCTCTAACAGCAGATTGCTTGTTCTGTTCCCAGGATATTTAAAGGATACTTGCTCAAACTCCTGAAGATGTTTAAATACCTCAAGGAAGTTTAAACTCTGCTGTAAACATCTAAATGCACCTAAAAATAAGATTATGGCAACCATTATGGTTAGTGTAAGATTTAAAAGTGAAACAAACTCACATTAGCAAAAAAACGTTAATAAGTGTCACTCCTTTCTTTTAGAGGTTGTCCTAGATTTTAATTGAATGTACAGCAGATAGAAATTTTCTTTGACTTTGCATCCTAAGTGAATTGTGCAGTAAGATAAAACAGCTCTTGATTGAACCTGCAGTTTAAAGATCTGCATTTTTTAATGTGTCCATATGAGAATGAGAGTTTCATTCTTCATTCTTCCAACTACATTCATTAAATTCAAACTGACTTGATTCATTTGGGACTCTGAATTCTACAGAGGAAAACAGCATTCTACATGTCCTGGTTGAGCTATATATAGGATGCATTTGAATGTGTTTGATCTACAGATAAGGGCTGTGTCTATTCCCTAGGTGACTGACGCCTCCCCAACCTGTCTTCCTGGCACCAGAAATGCAGATGCGAGTCCAAGGGGCCAGTGTGTAATTAGAGTGCACTGTCTGTCCAGCTGCATTTGTGAGTGTGTGCACAGTTCTGTGTGCACAGGTCTGTGTGCATAGGTCTGTGTGCATGCATGGATGCATGAGCTGAAATGAACGGGACAAGGCAAAAAAGGGGGAATAAAAAAAACTAAGGGGAAGTTACTGCTTAAAGAGGTTTACAGCGTTGTGGCATTATTTTGCTATTTGTCCAGGTCAAAGCATATTATGGTTAAAAAAAAACATGTATATGAAATATTGAAGTAATACAATTTGTAAAAATAAGAAAGAAATGTCAAATGTAAATTACATTGGGTAAATTAGTTTAGTTTAGTTTAGTGTGTGTACACATCCACCCTATAACGATAATGATCCACCCAGTGTTTTTAAAAAAAATCTCGTTAAAGCATTTCCCCTTTCACAAATCGAGCCTCTCTCAGATGACGTCACACAGACAGGTCCCTCCCACGATCGTTTGATTGACAGTAGCATTTCAGCACAGACTGGACTGGCGTCTTTCCTTAGACCCGCCCTGAGTGAGCTGTCATCAGTCCGCCATTGTTTCTATGTCGGAGCAGATGTAGACAAGAATGACTCCTAAACGATTGAGGTGTTCTGTTGTTGGATGTAATAATGAACATAGCAGTCATCATTTACTCCCGACATCTGAGCCGCTGAAGACGCAGTGGATTACGTTTGTTTTTGAAGAGAATGCGCCCCCCGATCTACATAAATGCGTCTATGTTCGCGCGAATCATTTGTGATCCAACTTCACCTACAGAAGAAGTGAGTGTAAGATTTTTTTAATGAATCTTTGCAAATCGCCTTTCCTAATAAAGTGCTGATTAGCAGGTTTCACAATGAATGCGCCTAAAGTAAGCTTACACTACCATTGAGAAATTTTAACCAAACTATGTTACAGACTTTTCATTAAGACCCTAAAGAATCATATCAACTTGTGGAAAGTGGGCATCCTATGACCCCTTTAAAATGAACTGTACACAATACAGTATAAGGGTTAAAGGGTTAGTTCACCCAAAAATGAAAATTAGCCCATAAATTACTCACCCTCAAGTCATCCTAGGTGTATATGACTTTCTTCTTTCAGACGAATCCAGTCAGAGTTATATTAAAAATTGTCTTTGATCTTTCAAGCTGTTTCATGGCACTCAGCGGGTGTTGCATGCATCAGTCCAAAAGCACTTAATTCAAATGCGCCCATCCATAAAAAAAAAAGGGTCTAAAAAAGTAATTTATGGGCTAATTTTCATTTTTGGGTGAACTAACCCTTTAACCTAATAAAACACTTGTTAGCTACAGCTTTGTGTTTTCTGTGCTACATCGCACACACCAGCTCTTCATACACTACATGTCACTTCAAAGAGAACCTATTCTGACTCCTGAGCCACAAATCAGTGTTGAGAAAGGAAACGTTAACTGTGTTTTCCAAATGCTGTTCTTCCAGTCACACAAGCTCCTTTATGGTCTTCTATGTGCCAACGCTACAGCTGTCCTTGGAAAGCACAGAAGCAGGTGTCTTTTAATAAGAAAAGTACAGTACTTCTTGAGACTATTTTGACTGAGTGCAGCATAATGTCTGGAACGACTGTCAGCAGAAGAGTCAAGCAATTTTCAAATCACGTCTAGGAAACACTAACTAAATCCCCACAGCACCCTGTGGAAAGTATGTCTGAACAATCACCCCAAACATTTTACATTCAAATGTTTCAAGACTACTGAATTTTACTTTCATTTGTAAACTTTACTACTAGAAAAAAATAAGGGATGATTAGCAGTACAAACCTCACCACCACAATTCTAGGGTGTTGTGGGTGGTTGCCAGGGCATTGCTTTGCTGTTTATAAGGTATTCTCTGGAGTTATTAGCATGTAGCTATGTGGTTGCTAGTTATTTTCTTACTACAGGTTAAAAGAGCCCATACCAGTCCCTACAATATTCTGGTCTCTTGATATGGCTCAAGTCCCTCCTTAAATATGTTTAAGCATTTTATATATTTATTTTTTAAACTATTTTATCATCTACCAGGCAAAAACTGCAAAGGCCCATTCACACCAAGGACAATAACTATAACGACAATGATAAAAATATTGTTTTAAAAATCATTCTAATTTTAAAAGAATAGCAGAATCCACAGCACAACTAATGATAATGGCACAGAGG